CTTTTTTCGAAGTTTCTCAAGAACCATTCGAGCCACAGAATTCGTTTTGGCATCGTTGGATAGAGAATTGAAAAGTCGATTCAGTCGTCACAACGTGAGTGAGGAACCCCACCTGGATCCGCCTTTGATTGGATTTGAGTAATACGTCGTCTGTTTCTTTCACTGCCAATGTTTCACAGATATGTTTTTGCGTCTCCAGGGCTTAGCGATAAAAGAATCAGAACTTTCCAATTATTTTCTACGTTGTTAATCCGGGCTTTTTATTTGACTTTTTATTTTATTTAACATTGACTCATTATTATTTTTCCTTGCCTTTTATTTGTCTTTAGCATTAGTAGTCCTTCAATGTTTTTCGATAATTTCAGAAGAAAAGGTGTTTTCTTATTATCACATCAATTAAAATTATGTCCCGTATTTAAGTTTTTAGCCATAAGGATTTTTTCTGTATGTGAGTTTTGTTGCAATATTTGGCTTGGTTTGGAAATTAGGCTTATCTGCTTATAGATTAGTGAGGCTCCAAACTTTTTAAACGATCGAAAGTCAAGTAGAACTTAAATCGTCGCTCGATGAGAAAAACTTTATCGAATTGTACATCTCGAACGCCAATTTTTCGGGGAAAATTTATCCAATTAATTTCTCAGTACGTTTTCCGCTAAGCGAGACGGAAAAACTTTCAAAACTTGACTAACTCAATTGATTAGTCGCCCTGATTCACAAAGTTAAAATGCTCCTTAAGAAGGATTCAAAATAGTTATTTATTAAATTAAATTTTTGGATAAAGAAAAAATCTCGAAAGCCACTTTTTCGGGAACAAATTATCCAATTAAATTGTCAGCACACCACTCAGCGAGACGGAAAAACTTTCGAAACTTGACTAACTCAATTGATTAGTCGCACTGATTCACAAAGTTAAAATGCTCCTTAAGAAGGGTCCAAAATAGTTATCAATTGGATAAAATTGGTGTCTGAAGACTCATCGTTAGTAACTGAAAATTGACGGATTTCACATGAGTAGATCTCAAAAATTATAAATAATATTGCTCGAGAGAAATTAGTGCGCCAATTTTTGTTTTAAAAAATGAAAAGTTTGGAAAGTATTCTAACTTTCTTTTGGAAACTGAATTAATTTTGCTTTTGAAAGTTTTTTATTTTAAAAAATTATTTCGGGTGAATCTAATAGAAATTTTCAAGAATTATAGATTATACTTTGAGCTAGATATTGATGTTTTGCACTTTCATCTTCATAGCCTAGGACATTATTATGCAATGATGTCAGATAATCGTTCGATATAATGTTATGAACATGTTGTAGATGTATTTTAAATTTCCTGATGAAAGTCTCGAATTGAGCGCTTGATGCTTTGCAAACTATATTAAAAATTGTACACAGTTTTGTCTCATTTAATTTGTTAATGTATTCAATGCTTGTAAAAACTCTTTTATTGTATTTGTTTTGCTTTGCAACTTGTTCTAGTCTCCCATCTACCAATTTTCTGCGTTTATTAGGCAATTATATACGTAATCTTACAGCCATAATTGTTATTATGATTAATTTTTCATTCCAAATTATTTTCATCTAAACTTTTCCATATGTGTGATTCATCTTTAAATTTCTCAAATGCTGTTTATTATTAAAAAGAGATTGTTCCGTTTCTTTACTGACTTCTGCCTACTATGTATAGCCGACGCCTTCTTATTTCGATCTCAACCTCAATATTGAAATTAGGTATAATATGAATGCTTTTTCATACCGTTATTATTTGATTTGGAAATGACGGTTTCTAAAGCTAGTAATTCGTGTTCCGCTTTTTCAAAGTCAATTTCCGGAACACTAACTGGAGGTGCAACAAAAAAACTCGGCTCCGTTCCCAAATAACAGCATTCTAAACGGCCCTCATCGCTCAACAGTACCAAAGTGCCTCTAATTCCTTTCAAAAATGCTCGATGAATGGCTGTTGGCAAAAAGTCCAGATGCGCTGACCATTTTAGCATCGTATTTTCATAAACCAATAGCATATTGGTTTCGGCGGTGACTAAAGTAAATAAATTGGTATCTGAAAAAGAGCACAGTTTGGTTGCTTGAGCGAACATTTATTCGGATGTGAAGTGCCCATATTTTCAAGTGCTTGTAAAATATAAATAAATTCTTCTACCTATTACGTAAGTCTCCATGCAAATTGGAGAGTAGTCCAATTTTTTCATACATTTTAGTCGGCCGTTTTCACTGAGACACAACAGGTTTTTCTCCCCCAATACCACTATCCAGACCTCTTTATTAATTACATCGCTTATGACTTGCAGATCGATTACCGATTCCCCAAAATTATATGCCCATTCGGTGGATATTTTCTGTTTCAAGTGAATTGGGTCGCCGGATTCTTCAGCTACTTCCGCAAGTGTTTTATATCTAAAACACACTTTTGGAGTTTTCTGGACTCTCTGCGCCCAAATTATGAAAATGTTAACCAAATTCGTAGCAAAGTAAATGAAGTAGCAGATTTAGAAAATGTTGTACAGGGTGATTCAAGAGGAAATCATATGGATCGGAAGTCGAAAAAAGCTAAATTTCAGCGTATTTTCGTATTTAAAAAATTCTAGTTTTAGTTGCTTCAGAAATACTTTCATTAATTGCATTTTAAAAACCAAATCGAACACTAATTTATTAGCAACCCCACAAACTGATACAAATAATAATCAGCAAATAGCGTTAATTTGCGACAAATGTTCGATAGTGAAAACTTCACTTCCTCATCACTTCCACATTGAAGCCCTTATTTGTGATAATAATTTTCTCTGTAATCAACAGTGCAGCATTCAGAAAGCGAATTACTTGAGTAAGTAATTATCCCTTTAGTTTACTTCCTTAACTGAAAGCCACGATTTTATTCATCCCTAAAGACGAAAATGTTGAAGAGTAAACCACCTATGCAAATCCAGCGATCGCCGAAAAGTATATTCAAAAACTATTTATTACTTGAAAAATGTGAAGGCGCATCCATCATATTGGAAGATGAGGGTGAATATCTTTATAAAAAATTCGTCCAATATCTCCACTAAATGATCTTCTAAAAATGTAAATAACCATCCCCATTAAGGAAGACGTCCGATGCGAAAGAACCGAACAACTAATCATCTAGAATGCCCGCACTATGCGTTAATACTAAACCGACGTTAAAAAATGTGTTTTTTGCGAATCTATTGGCGAAAGTGTAATCTCAAAGAAAAATTGCCCAGATCTTTTTGAAAGAAATGGTCAAAGAAAAATTTCAAGTTGAAAGTTTACTTTACTGTTCTGATTTCGATGATGTATACATGTATAAATGTCTGGCACATTTACGAACTCAGTCATTCAGTTAAATACACAATTATGTTAATTAGCCAAAAAACATGTACATTTTATTTATCATCATTAAATGATTACAAATGTATAGAGAACACGAACCGTGCCTATTAGGAGAATAGGCCACCTTTAAACGGAAAGCCATGTTCTCAGCGTTAAAAAACGTTATTTTGGAAAAAGGTAAACAGTCGCAAGATTTATTTTGCTGGAAAAATTTCAACTTGGGTGACGCTGTTATGTTCCACATTTTTTCCTTAGAAAAATACGGTTAGTTTACTGATAATGCGACAAATTTCAAATGAGATTTTGAACAAATTTTTGCAGGTTTTTATTGTTCATGTCGCCAAATTGCCCAGATTTTAATGCAAATTCATGCACCCAACTTGGCAAAAAAGTGTCAAGAATCGTCATTCTGATAAAAATAATGCATTTTAAACGATTGTTGTATATTTTTATTTAAATATTTGCAGGAATCAAAAAAACGCATTTTCAGAAAAAAGTACCCAAAGTTGTTTCTGTTCGATTCTGTTTGGAGCGCTTTTTATTTTTTGTTAGGCGATGTTTTGGTAAAAATTCAGCACATCAGATAAATTTTCCACAAGGTGGCAAATGCAAAAATGCAAAATTTCTGTATGCTCCTAGTAGGACAAAAAAAAGTTTTTTGATTTTCAACACCAAAGTTTAAATTAACCAAATAGCTCGAAACGGGTTTCGAAATTTTAGGCGATCTCTTCTATGGTGGTCTCAAAAAATCATCTTATTCGCCTTGCAGCGACAACTTTTCTGCTCGTGGTTAAATTCTCCCAATCTTGATCTCATGCTGAAGCTGAAACTTCATAGCCAATTTAAGTCGATAATTCCATATAACGGCGGCATAAAAAAATTACCCAAATCAGAATTTCCCCCGAAATCTGTGATTCGGGAAGATTTTCAATTACCTGAAGTTTACTTTCAAATATTTCGTTCATTCATACAACCCTATTTATGAATTTTTTTCTCAAGTCTAGTGCAAAGTTTCATCTTCAACGTAGACTTTAAAATTTGGGAATCGGTTTAAAAGAAAAAAATTACCATAGTAAAACGAAAGTTGTTTTTTTTAGGCGACTCTGTAAGTAATCGAGATGTGCGAACAACGCAAAAACTTTTTCGATATTCGTGCATCTTTATGCCTGGGGTGTTGAAGTGCAAATAAAAAACCGTTTTTTTTGTCCGACTAAGAGCATGTGGATTTTTCGATTCCTTGTAGAAAATCTGAAGCACTATTTTTTTGCAGAAACACTTACCTATGGAAAAAGATTTGCAGTAAACAACGCTTCAAACAGAAATAAATTTGCTCTCAGCAATCAGAACTTTCCAATTCCAAAATTTTCTCGAGTAGCTTATTGTAATAATAAATTTTTACTGTATTTCGCATTTTAAAACCCTTGATATAAAAAAGCTAATAAACCCTGAATGATTATAAATTTTATTTGAACCACCCTTGTAGTTTACTTACTTTGTCCTGACCAAAGAAGTTTTCACAATAAAACCTTCGTCACAGTCGACATCTTACCTATAAGAAACAATTTCCCAGCTTGAAGAAACCGTTACAAAACTGTCAGTCTTTATAACATAGCCCAGAGGTCCGGGTAGTAAAAAATCTGGCAAAGCCACATACGAAATTTGGCTTTCTTGTTCGAAAAAACTGAGAATTCCATCCAAGGATTGAACACATACAAAGTCCCGATTCTGGGATTCGCCAAAAGGTCCAATGACAAAATTGGCGGATGATTTCCGCAGTTTGTGTTCGTACACTAATTGCAGATAACTTTGGTTCCCTATGGCAATGATGATAGTTTATTAAATAAATTATTTCAATTGTACAACTAAAAAAACAATGACTAGAACAATTAATCATTGGGTACCCGTATATCAATCTCTGCTTCCCATATGTTAATCGACGATCGGCAATGCCCTGTTATAAGCGAGATATCAATATATACAGTTAATTTTAAAATGTATTTTTAGTGCTTTATTTACGTAGCAAATGCTTTATAGTTACTCGCACCATACCCGGGACAATTACTAAGAAAAAATAGGGGCTTTAATTTCATAATAGGCTATTGTCAATGTAATACTTCTGTAGTGTTGGAAAATGTGCTACAGGTTTGATGTGAATAAACTCTTCATACTGGTATGTAATTTTAATGATAGGAACTGCAAGAAAACTGTTAGCCTGCTCTTAGATAGCAGATTTAAAAAACTATTGAGCACTAGAAAAGTGGCAATTAATATTCAAATAAAGACTCACCATGTTGAGTTTTACCAGGTTTGAGTATTAAGGAAAAAACTAGTAACTCTTTAGGATGAAGCACGGCTAATTGAGTAGCCGAATTTCCCCTGAAATATGAGCGAAATCCTGCAATCAACTTGAGCAATGAACAATTTAATGATAACTTACGAAACTAGTCGGCCACTTCCCACTTGCAGTATGGGATGATCCAGGATTTTCTCCACAATAACATCATTGGGATTAAATCCTGCATACGTACCATTTTCGCTCACTTCACAATTCGGACAAAAAATCCTTAGCACTCCACTTTGACTGCCAGTTACCACGTAATCAAAGTCGGAATTGATTTTGGCCACTAATAGAGAATTATGATCAAAGTATTCATCATCTTCGCTGGTCGTAGACCAAAACTGCCGAATTTTGAATAAGGACATTTGGTTCTGGCTCAACTTTAACTGTT